TTTGAAACGGTGACGCGAAGCAGTCAGGTTAATGTGAAGGAACGAGCCAAGCTCTCCATTTTCATTGGCTGGAGGACAGCCTCCCAGGGGAAGCCTTGTGACTTGAGGGGAAAGTCTAGAACACTTCAGATGGGAAGGCTCTGTAGTAAGACAGGTGGATCCAGGCGAAGGACTTGGGTTTCGTTTCATTATTTATGAAATGAACCTATCTCAGGTGTGCACTTGTGTGCTGTGCAGGAGTTTGAGATTTGTCTGTGCTAAGATGAACTATGTTGGTTTATTTTTTTTTAACTTTTTAGCTATTTTGTTGGCATACAAAGTTTCGTAACTTTCTCTCTTTCTTCCTTTTTTCTTTTCTTTTCTTTTTCTTTTTTTTTAAGACATGGTTTCTCTGTGTAGTCCTGGCTGTCCTAGAACTCACTCTGTAGACCAGGCTGGCCTTGAACTCAAGAGATCTGCCTGCCTCTTCCTCCTGAGTGCTGGGATTAAGGCATGTGTCACCACCAAGGTAGCATTTTCATATATATATGTATGTCATTATATTTTGTTCTTGTTCATTCCCTGAATCTTTTCTTTAATAAGCCTGCCTAATTTTTAGCTCTTTAACAATCTAGTTGATTCGTGCCAGTGGCAGTAATGTTTTATATATTTGAAATAAATAATAAAATTAGCAAGTGATATCTTTTCCCAGATTTTCTTTTTTGCTGGCGACGCATTAAAAGCCTGAGATAAAGGGCTCACTTTGCTTCTCCTCGTGTGGCCGTTGCTGGGCAGCCTCTTTATCCTCATACAGCGTCTCAGTTTTTTCCCTCCTTTTGCTTTGCCTTGAACAAATTAGGCCTGATTCGTGGTGAGAGTCTAGAGTTAATCTTCAGGACTTGCTTTTCTGACCACGTGCCATGCCACTCTATCATGACTTAGCAGTTTTTGTTAATGTTTCTTATTCTCACGTTCGTTCACGCAGTGTGGTAATATTCTGGGATTTTATGTCTTCTTGCATCTTTCCTGGTGGAGTTAGATTCCTTACCTTACCACACAAGTCTCTCACCGTGTTCTCTTAACTGCTCGGATCCCATCATTTCCCCTTTTCTAGGCATTTTGAATTATTTGTTCTCTCATAGAGCCTGGTGTCTTACTTTCTGGCTCTTATTTTTCCAAATACCCACTTGTCTGATTCATCTGGCTATACTCAAGAGTGTCACTCTCTCTTTTCTTAGAGATTGCGTCCCATATGAGGATATGTACCCGGAAGCAGTCCCCTTGGGCATTGCTGCTCAGATGTTCTTGTATGTTTTAAGTAGCCCTCCCTCCTGGGCCACTGCCTACTTTGCTAATGGTATTTATGTGGAGCCACGGGCCATAGTTCAGTTACACTGGTAGAATAATGCTGCCACAGATTGACCCTCAGTGGAGATGTAGGTGGGGCAAGATACAACATCTTTATTTCCTCATTCCTTCATTGCTTACCATTTCTACCACAGGCATGAGTGGACCGGTCCTTAGAAAAGGAAGCCAGGAGTAAATAAAAATAGTTGGTATGTGCTACAGAAGGAGAGAAAACTGTTTCTTCCCCCTCTTCTAGTGCTAGTACATGGTTAGTGCTTATTTCTTTATTTGACAGTTTCATAATTTGTACAACACGCTTGGTCATTTTTCTCTCCCCATTGCACTAGTCCATTTCCCTCCCTCTCCTGCTAAACTGCCTGCCTCTCTATCCTTCCTTCCTTCCTTCCTTCCTTCCTTCCTTCCTTCCTTCCTTCCTTCCTTCCTTCCTTCCTTCCTTC